TACGCCTGCTCTTGTCTTCCTTGCTCAGCGCGGGTGGCTCGGGGAATGGATCCAGCCCCAGAAGACGACCCTGGGGGCCATGGACTTTGGGGGCGCTTCCACACAGATCACCTTTGAAACCAGGGACACCATCGAAGACCCCAGCAATGAGGTGATGCTAAAGCTGTATGGCCAGGAGTACAAAGTGTACACCCACAGCTTCCTCTGCTACGGAAGGGACCAAGTCCTCAAGAGGCTGCTCTCGAAGCTCCTCCAGGTACCAGCCTGTGCTCAACGGGGATGCCGGCTGGTATGCTGGCTGTTATGACTGCGGTTGCCCCCTCACCCTGGTGTTTGTACAGGGGTGTCACCAGCCTCGGCTCTAGGACAGCCCTGTGGGGCTGGCTGCACACCTTTCCCAGCCAGCTCTTGCGTTTTCCCCTCAACCCTCTCCTGTGGTCCCAGGGCTTCCTCCTACCCTCTCCATAAGGTGTTGCACCCCATGGCTCGAGCCCACACATCCTGAGTCATCTCGAGACGCTTGTGGCAACTGCCAGCTCTGCGTCCCGCTGCCCAAGCTCCTCTGCATCTCCCCAGCAGGGAAGCAGAGGCAGGCAGGCAGGCAGTGGTGCCAGGGCTGCCAGGCAGCGCCAGGGGAGCTGGGGCTACAGCACAGCTCATGCATCCTGTGCATCGCTTCTCCAGCAGGCTAAGAGCTACCAAGCAACCATCCCCCACCCCTGCTGGCCCACGGGCTACCACAAGAACCTGTTGTTGAGCAGCATCTACGATAGCCCCTGCACGGAAAAGGAGAGGCCCAGCTTTGCCCTCAACACTACCATCACCATGGCTGGCACTGGAAATGCTAGCCTCTGCACTCTGCACGTGAGCAAGCTCTTCAACTTCACCACCTGCTCCTTCTCCCGCTGCTCCTTCAACGGCATTTTCCAGCCAGAGGTTTCAGGAAACTTCATTGTAAGTCCTGGCATGGAGCGGGGTGGTGGCCTGGCCGCTGCGTGGGCAGGTGTCCCTGGCCCCAAGACATCATGCGGCGGCAAAGCAGACCCCCGGATCTGCAAGGGCAGTGGCTTGTGCCCAGCACAAGCTGGCTGTTCGTGGCAAGAGGGTCTGCTCCCAGCCTGTTCCACAGCTGCCTCCTTTCCTCTGTCAGGCCTTCTCTGCCTTCTTCTACACAGTGGACTTTATCCAGACAGTGATGGGGAGACGTGTACACTTGCCCAGCGACCTGAAGGATGCTGCCGAGACCATCTGTGCCACCAGCTGGAGCGAGGTGGGCTCCTCGGGCATGGCGGGGAGATGTGGGGCATCACCTGGGCTCCGAGAGCAGCCCTTGGAGGGGGCTGGGTGGCCTGGCACCCATGGAGTAGGGGGGAGGCGGGTGACAGCTCCCACATGGGACCAGGAGAGGCTCAGGTGGGTGTGGGCAGTGCCTTGGCCAGCCAGATGCAACCACCCAGCGCTTCAGGCCACAGAAACAAAGCCTGGACCCTGTTGACTTTATCCCTTTTCTCTATCCCTCCATGCATCCCACCCAGCTGCTCCAGAAGGCCCCTAAGCTGGAGAAGAGATTGTCAGATTACTGCGCTGTCAGCATATTTGTTTATTTGCTCACCACCAAAGGCTACAACTTCAACGACCATTCCTTCCCCAACATTGCCTTCCAGAAGAAGGTGGGTTGCTCATGCCATGGTATGTTTGGAGTTAGGCCAAAAAGCCCTGCAGCAGAGATGATCCCACACCAAGAAAGAGCCAAGCAATGTGAAGGAAGATCTCAGGCAACAGAGGCAGAATGGAACTCCCAGTTTTTGGGTGGAACTTCTGGGAGGTGGAAAAAAAATGAGCTGAGCTGACTGTAAGGTAGTCATGGAGTCAGGTCCACCAGTCCTTCAGTGGCCCTCAAGACACTAGCCATTTAAAACAACTCTTTGCTCAGGCTTGTTGGGAAGTTATCTCAGGGCAGGATCCCACCTTTGCCAAGTGCCCTCACTTACATGAGCCATGGGATGGGCAGTGAGATCAGGACTGACCTGAATGGATGAGATCCTGTTCCCATCAGATGAACCCAGCTCACCACAAGATGGTCACTGTTTTGCCCCTGGGCTGGCTGGACCGGTGGGCAAGGGGGGGCTCAGGGTGCTGTGGACTCCCCCACACCCCTCTTCTCCATTGGGCTGACACTGAGGTGGTCCTCCCTGGAAGGTCTCTTGAGGCCTGTGGAGCTGGGTTGACTGGGGTGGTGACCATGCCGTGCTGTTTCCACAGGCAGGAGAAACCTCCATCGGCTGGGCCCTGGGCTACATGCTGAACCTCACCAACATGATCCCAGCAGAGAAGCCCTCTTCCCACAAAAGCATAATGTACAACTATTGGGTCATCCTCATCCTGCTCTTTGTGGTCACCACCCTGATGTCTCTGGTGACTGCCATCTGCCTGCTTCGGCACAGCAAGTCCAGCGCAATCTAACGGCAGGGACAGGACCCAGCACCATCCTTCCTGCTGGAGTCTCCATGGCCTGAACACTTGGGATGCATCAAGTGCTAGGAGATGTCCTCCTCCAAAAACTGACACTGCCTGTCCCAGAGGGAAAGCTGTCCCTTTTTGCCCTCTCCTTGCTTTCAAGCTGCAGAATTGGGGGGGGAGCCGCTGGCCCTGTGGGAGAATGGATGGCTTAACGGTTTCCAGTGCCACTCAGGGACAGGCCCCGGAGCAGGATCAGGATTTGGATGTTCAGACCTGGGGCATCTTTCTGCCACCAGACCTGGGCTGGACTGGGCCAGTAAGTCCAGACAACAGCAGGATTTATTCACATGTGTATGGGGTGGGTGGGGAGTATTATTACACTAGTCCTCATAGCTGACCTCTCCAGCCCGTCCCTGGAGCATCAGCCCTGCCTCCCGAGGAGCTCTGGGGATCGCCCAGGGCCCACGCTGTCTTTCTGGTGGATGCATAAACCCTACTGACCTTCCTGAGGGCCAGATCTTGGCCAGGACTTCCACCAGCCCCAGCACAGGGGCTTTGGGTAGGGGCTTAGCAACAACCAGGTGTGGGGAGCAGGCAGTTTCCCAGGTCCTGCTTCAGCAACCAGATGTGGTGCCTCCTCCATTCCTGTGGTTCCTAAGCCAGATTCGTCTTTGCCACAGTCAGAGCCTCCTCCGTCCCCCATGCAATGGCACAAAAAGCCCCCGTGGCTCCCTGGTGCATGGCCATGCCAGCACAGAGGTGGCAGGCTTGCTGCGGGAGTGGGGCTTTGCCCTGGTTTGGGATTTGAGCTCTGCATCACCCCATGGCAGGCAGCTGGGAGGATGCGCCTTCATTTCCAGTCAAGTAAGAAGAGGGACATGCAAACATGCAGAAGGTTTGGGTTGGTTTTTTTATAATCAGAAATAAATCTTTGTAACCACTCATATGGCTCTGTGGCTCTTGACCAGCAACAGGCTGATCGAGCCTGGCTGTCCCACAGGGATAGAGCCACTTACAGGGTCAACTCAGACACGGCCGCAGGTCAGACTCTGCCTGGAGGTCTCAATCCCTTGCAGCCTGCCCAGTGCTGAGACACCATCATGGCTCCATATGCTCTACCAGCCTGGAGAACTCCTCCAAGATGGACCAAGGTGGGCTTGAAACCTCACTCCAGACTCAGGCCACACAGAGGTGGGAAAGTTTCAACCAGCCACGGTTGCAAAGTTGAGGTTTCCCAAGAGCTAGAGGTCCAGTCACCCCAAAGGCAGGAGCAGGCAGTGCTCAAGCTGACTGCCCCGTGCACTCGCTGCTGTGCTCACAGACGCAGCCTCCATGCAAGGAAAGCACAGAGGGAGCCTCGGCTCCCAGGAGACCAGTCTGGTACCTAAGCAGGGCAGGAGAGCAGCCCACAAGGTTGGCGATTTGTTCGTGCAGTCACTGGCAGCTCAGAGCCACGGTGGGGTGCATCCAGCTGCCGGGCAGCTGCGCAGGGCCAGTCCCAACATGTTAACTCCATCTGGAAAGAGCCTCCCGCCCCACCGTGTCCCTCCGCACGCCCCAGGAGAGGAGCGGGTTTAGCGAGAGTTGTGGTGTCTCGCTGCCCTCCTTGCCCTTGCAGGCAGCACAAATGCTGCTCTTCGCTCTGCCTGAGCTCCCAGTAAGTTGTGCTTGGCTTAACCCGCCTGTTCCCTGCAGCCACTTTGCTTTTAGCTGTTCTGGCAGCTGCTCCCCATCCCTCGGCACAGGCTGAGCGTGATGCCAGTTCAGATGATGTTCTGAGCCCCCAAACCCAGTTTCCTCCCCGGGCCCCTCATCGCCCCAGCACAGGGACTCCCTCCCGTGGTGAGGCTCGGGGCCCATCTCCAGCTCGCACAGGGAAGGAGGCATTTCTGGTCTCTGAAGCTAAAACGCTGCCGCTCTCCTTTAAGAAACCAGCTAGCTTCCAGAACCCAGGCTGGGGTTTCCCTTCTGAGAAATTCAGCTGCAGCTGAATCAGAGCTGGACGTTCACCAAGAGCAGCCAGGTTGCCCTAGTCATGACTTGGAGTTTGCCATTAGGAAAAAAATAAGCAAAAGAGGCTTCTTAATCTTCCCATGGGCCCCTCTGTATGTGTGGGATTTGAGACAGTACCATTCCTTTGCCGGCTGGTTACTGATCTGGATGGAGAGCCTGGGACTGGCTGGGGGATGCGCCCCAAGAGGAAGGCAGGGCACTCAGAGGGCTCTGGGCAGGTGGGCACCCCTTGGCAGGGGCAGAGGACACCCCCAGAGGCCGTGCAGCTGCAGGGCTCAGCTCAGCCCCACTGGGGCTGGCGAGAAAAGCCTTGCTGTTACGGGGGCAGGGACACTATGACCAGCTAGGCTCAAGAACTGGAGAGTGCACAGCAACAGCTCTGCTCCTACACATCTTAGCTCAGACCCGTCTGTGCCTGCAGTCACTTCTCAGCCCTGCGCTGTCAGACACGAGTGCTGTGGCCTCAGAGGGACCAGAGCTCTCTGCTCCAACATTTACCGCAGGGGCTGCCTCAGGGTGACATTCACCACCCATACCCCAGCTCTTCCTGCCCACCACCAGCCTTCACTTCATCCACAACGTGCACTTTCAGCTCTTGACTTTTATTGTACCCCCCACGTGCAACGTTCAGAGGCTACCTGGGAGGCAGCAATCCCCACGGTGCCTCCACCGCGCTCTCACTGCAGGATCAACTCATCCGAGCTGCCGGGCAGTGCCACAGAGCCCACCAGTCTCTCAAGCAGCACAGGCACAGGCAGGCCAGGCAGGCAGGAAGGGGTGAAGCAGAACACAGGCACAGTGCACTGTGGTCTGCTGACTACTCCACAACGTCCCCATATTTGTTCCTCCTCACTGGTGGTGCTGTGCTCTCTCTGTCCTCTGGGCTGGGCAGATTTTCTGCAACAAAAAGAACAAGCTCCCTGGACCCCCAACTACTGGCATGTTTGCCAGGGGCAGGCAGAGAACCACAGAGCCCTGGTGAAGCATTTAAAGCCTCTTCAGCTGGACGCATCTTTGGGAGTTCAAGGTACCAGTGGGAGAAAGCAGCAAGCAGCTGTGGGAACTGCCCAGCAGTGGCCGTTCTGGTGCCCCTCCAGCTCTGCCCACCATACAGAGCAACCAAGCTGTGGAGGCATTTACTGCCTCCCTCCATCCCCTACTCTCTTCCTCTTCCAGCAAACACACCCTTCACACTGGCTCTCGTGAATCTACAAAGCAGGCAGGGCAGCAGGCAGAAGTGAGCGCTCCCACCCCATGCCACCAGCCTTGCTCAGGTACCTGCGGCACAGGTGGTGGGCCCAGACCATGGAGAGACATGGGAGCCACGAGAGCAAGCAGGGAGCTCCAGCCTCCCTAGTGTTGCTGCCTCCCCAGGCAGCTGCTCCCATCCCTCGACTGCAGGGTGCCAGTATGGGACTTATATGGGGACTTTTGGCAATGACACAAACAGTTATCAATTATGAGGCAGGAACAGCAAATTGTTGCGGCAGGGAAGAACCAGGTGTGACAAGCCCAGGGAAAGCAACAGGGAGAGATGGGAACGTACCTGCGGGCTGAGAAACACTACCAGCCTTGGCGAACTCCTGTGGGGACTTGCCTGTCTCCAGGTAAATCCAGAAATCGGAGCATTTCTGTGTCTCGGCTCTGGTTACCACGTAGCTGGCGAGGGACCCTGCAGCTGAAGAGCCCAAGATGCTCCCGAGAGCGCCGGCAGCAAGGGCATTTGCTAAGGGCAGTGCT